TCTCTGCCTACTTGTGCTTGCTCTCTCTCTCTCTATCAAATAAATAAGTAAAATCTTAAAAAAATAAACAACATATTTATAATGTACAATTCGATATGTTTTTATAACTTGATGTATGAAATCATCACCCAAATCAAGATAATGAAGACATCCATTACCTTCAGAAGTTTGCTCTCATCACTACATATTCATTTGTATTTTCTAGAATTTTATATAAATAGAATAATTTAGTGTGTCCTTTTTTGGGCACTAGCTTCTTGCAGCATAATTATTTTGAGATTCATCCATGTGGTCGCATTCATCAACAATTTCCTTATTGATGAATATTTCCCATTGTATGGAAATACTACAGTTTGTTTTCGCGTGTATTTGATGGAAATTTGGGTTGTTTCCAGTTTGGGGGCTTTTACGAATTAAGCTACTATGAGTATGTGTGTATAAGTCTTCGTGTGGCCATATGCTTTCATTTCTCTTGAATAAATACCTAGGAGTGGAATGGCTGGGTCATGTGGTAGGTGTGTGTTTACCTCTTTATGAAGCTACCGGACTTTTTCTGGAATGGTTGTACCACACCCCCAACAGCAGTGAAAGAGTTTCTGTTCTTCCACATACTTGCCAACACCTTGTATGGTAAACCTTTTTAATTTTCATCATTCTGGTGGGTATGTCTAAATTGTGGTTTTAATATCATTTCCGTGATGGCTAATGATGTTGACCATGTCTTCATGTGCTTATTTGTTACCCTCTTTGGTAAATTAAGGTCTTTTGCCATTCTTTTTTTTTAACTGGATTGTTTGTCTTATTGAGTATAAGGAGTTCTGTAATGCTAGATAAAAGCGGATATGTGGATATGGTGGACATGTTTTGCAAATATTTTCTCCCATTCTATGGCTTTGCCTTTCAAAGTGAAAGTTTTTAATTTTGATAAAGTCCAGCTTATCAATTTTCTCTCCCGTAATTCCTGCTTTCTGTATCATATTTAAGAACTCTTTGCCAAACCTAAGGTCACTAAGATTTTCTCCTCTGTTTTCTTCTAGAAGTTTTATGGTTTTAGCTTTACATTTAGGTCTGTGCTACATTTTGAGTTAATTTTTATTTTATTTTATTTTTTAGAATTTATTTATTTATTTGGCAGAGAGCGAGAGAGGGAACACAAGCAGGGGAAGTGGGAGAGGGAGAAGCAGGCTTCCCGTGGAGCAGGGACCCTGATGCGGGGCTCGATCCCAGGACCCTGGGATCATGACCTGAGCCGAAGGCAGACACTTAACGACTGAGCCACCCAGGCGCCCCTTGAGTTAATTTTTTAAAAAATATTTTATTTATTTATTTGAGAGAGAGAGGGCATGAGTGGGTGAGAGGTGGGGCAGAGGGAGCGGAGAGGCAAACTCCCCGCTGAGCTGGGAACCTGACATGGGGCTCAATTCCAGGACCCTGAGATCATGACCTGAGCCGAAGGCAGACACTTAACCAACTGAGCCACCCCAGCACCCCTTGAGTTGATTTTTTTAAGATTAATTTATTTATTTTAGAGAGAGGGCACAAGTGGGAGGGGCAGGGGGAGAGGGAGAGAGAGTCTCAAGCAGACTCTGCACTGAATTCAGAGCCCAACACGGGGCTCGATCTCACAACCCTGAGATCACAACCTAAGCTGAAACCAAGAGTCAGACTCTTAACTGACTGTGCCACCCAGGTGCCCCTTTTTTGAGTTAATTTTTGTTTTTAGTGTGAGCTGAGAGTTAATTTTTTTTTCCATATAGATGTCAATTTGACCTAACAGCAATTATAGAAAAGACTAGGCCTTCTCCCTAGTTTCAGTCCTGTCATTCGTGACTGTCCGAGTGTTTCTGGGCTTTCTGTTCCTTTCCATTGGTCTCTTTATCTATTCTTGCCCCACATCGTATTTTCTTAATTATTGTAGCTTACAGGAAGTCTTAATATCTGATAGAGTGCATCTTCCAGCAATATTCTTTAAAGATTGCTTTGGTTTTCTAGGTCCTTTGCAATTCCATATAATTGAATTTCCATCCTAATTTTAGAATTTGAATGTCAGTTTCCACAAATAAACCCTCATGCTCACTGTTCAAATCTCTCTCTTCCTATCACGAGAACACTTGAGAGCTCAGATCAGCCCTCAGAAGGTTGTCTGATTGACGCGGAATCAGAGCCCAGGAATATTTTAATCAAGCCAGTGATTCATTCTCTCTGTCTCTCTCCAAATTTGTCTGTGTTATTAAAGCTAATTTTCATTAATAATCTCAATATTTCAGGCAGGTCATGGGTGGCCATGGTCTACAGTAACTTTCAATTTCCCCTATTTCCTTACAAAAAAGGAGAAAGCTATAAAACCCAAGGAAGTCTTTATTTGATGATATGAATGGGAAAAGTTTAGAGATGATGAACAATTAACATCTTAACTCCTTTCACAAGCAGACCTCGATTCTGAGGAATTAAACTCTGTGTCGATGTCCTCACTGAAAAGACTAGACCTGGAGCCCTTCAGTAAAGGAGAACCAGGTACCGACAGGTCCGCGTTTCAGGACATAAAGTTCATTCTAAGAGCACAGAGGAAAGGAGAAGAGGACCTAAAAATGAATGTTCACTTCCTCACACCACAGGCAAATGCCATAGCAACTGTGAATGTCAGTGGATTGGATCCCTTCTCTTGGCAACCTAGAATACTCCCAAAACCAAGGAAGCGAACTCTTGTTTGGCCCCGAGGCTATTTCACTTGGTTTCTGAGATACTGTTCGTGACATTTGCCCTTCCCTGAAACAATGAGACGTTCTCTGTGCTAACATAGCGAATAAAAAAAAGAATTCTGCTTCTGTATAATAAAATTTGATACAAGTCATTTAGATAGTACCGGGATGCCTGGGGTGGCTCAGTCGGTTGAGCGTCTGACTCTTGGTTTCTGCTCAGGTCATGATCTCAGGGTCGTGGGATTGAGCCCCACGTTGGGCTCCGCACTGGGTGGGGAGTCTGCTTGAGATTCTCTCTCTCCCTCTGCCTCTGCCCCTCCCCACCATGCTCTCTCTCTCTAAAATAAATAAGTAAATAAATAAATAAATAATTTTTTATAAAGTCATTCAGATAGTACAGAACACATAGAACACAGTTATAAACAATGCACATGTTTCACTCTGCCTTTTTACGAAGCACAAATTAAACAGGAAAAGGTGCCACCTGCTCTGTGGCTCATCCTTCCCTTGGGCTTTTTTCTTCTTTAGCTTCTCCTCCAGCCTTCCTCTTGGGCTTGGCGGTGACAGCGGTGGGGTGGGGGGCAGCACGCAGGTTGGCCCCAGGAGCGGTCTAGAGATGGCTATGATTCCTGCCCCGCTTCCCCATGCTGCTCCAGAACCATTGTACCTGAAATTAGTTCCATGCATGTTCTTTGGGATCTGTAAGTAGTCTACGAAAACATGTTTAAATTCCCTGTTTTAATAAACAGAGATCTGGAAAAAAATGTTCATGCATAATCTCTCTGCCCTAGATAACCACCTTGTAACCAGGAAGCACCACGGAACCCGAGAGTCTACATCTGGGCTTGAGTGGTGGAGGCTAAGGAGAGGGGAAGGTGCGCAGGCAGGCATGAGAACACCAAGCTCCGCTGGTGAGGGGAAGATCGCAGTCTTTCTGAAGAGTCAAAAGTAGACCGAGCGTGTGCCAGTTGGGCTCCAGCACGTTTGCCTTGGGGCACTGGGACCAGGTCACAGGGCACATAGCACTTACGTTCAGCAGAAAAAAAAAAATTTTTTTTTTGTTATCCTACTTAAATGTGAATTTGAATATTTGTGATTAATAGGTAACTTATACGTTTATCATGCTTTTATATTTGAAAGTTGGAAATCAATGAATGTATGTTAAGTTTGTGTTTCTAGGCATTTGAACAAAATGGTGAGGTGGGTTAATATTTTGGAATTTTAGCCCCGTATAGTTTTTGTCCTAAATAGTTCTCTTTTACACGGGTACCTGTTACCACCTAAATGAAAGTGAGGCTTTCTGCAGAAAACAGAACACCTTTCTGGGCTTTCAACTTCCAAAATAGGCTCTGAACAATTGTGTTGGATTGTGAAAGCCTGGCTTTTTTTTTTAAGTTGTAAAGTTGGAAATTGTCCAGGGAGCGGTACCTGGGAGGCTCAGTCGGTTAAGAGACTGACTCTTGATTTCACCTTGGGTCCTGATCTTAGGGTTGTGAGATCAAGCCCTGGGCTGAGCTCCTCGCTGGGTGTGGAGCCTGCTTAAGATTCTCTCTCCCTCTCCATCTGCCCTTCCTCCCTCACCCCTGCTTGTGCGTGCTCTCTCTCTCTCTCAGAAAAAGTAATAAAATAAAATAAAAATTGTACATGGAACACCTGTATACCCTTTATTTTATTTATTTATTATTTTTATTATTAATATATAACGTATTATTTGTTTGGGGGTACAGGTCTGTGATTCTTCAGTCTTACACAATAGACAGCGCTCCCCACAGCACATACCCTCCCCAGTGTCCAACCTCTATACCCTTTATCCAGATTCCCTTACAGTCAACATCTTACCCTATTTCCTTTATCATTTCTGAGCCATTTACATATATCATGGCCCTTTGCCCCTAAATACTTGTGTGTATTATCTTATATGACCAGAGTACAGTTATCACCCTTATGAGTTTATTTCACTACAAATTACTTTAATCGACCCTCCATATTTCAATATTGTCCACCTACTTATAATGCCTGTTAATAGCCTTTTCAGTACAGGAGCCCATCTAGAGACATTTAAGTTTTGCAAGGGAGCCTTCTGTACTGTGGGCAGACACTCTAACACCACGTAAATATCCTGTTCCTCATCAAAATTTCCCCCC